GGGGGGGGGGGAGTACGGTCTCAATTACGGTTCAAGAGTCGAGAGAGAACAATCAAGCAAGGGTCCGGTGTCTCTGTCACGCGTTCTCGATCCTGGCTAACTTTAACGCACTCGGCGGGCCGTCCGTCAGAACAGCCTAAACCTTGTCAGCACTAGTCAGAGAGCGACAACGTGCTCAGAATCGGTCGAACGAGCGAACGAGGCAACATGCCCAACGTACGGCACAGTAGAACGGCACAATACTTCCATCAGGCCGCCAGCCAAACCGGGTGGCCGGCATAACACAACTATCTGGTTGTGAACAAGAGATGAAACAGATGGAAACGTGTCTTTGTGTATGTAAGAAAAAAAAAAAAAACGAAAAAGAAACAGAAGCAGAAGCAGAAGCAGAAGCAGAAGCAGAAGAAGCACGTCCGTCCACAAGAGTAGCGGTACCACCACGAGACACAGCAGACGACAGCACTTCTACACTACATCACACACATCAACACACCATACCTCGAGCTCGTCCTCGTCGATAACCAGCCCATCCACGCCGTACTCCTCCCCCCCGGACAGCTCCGCCACGAGCTTGGTCAGGTTGGCCAGCTGCGCATCCAGCAGGACGAACTCCGCTACGAGAAGACGGTACTCCGACAGCGACGAGGGTGTAGACTCGCGGATTTCCTAGTGCAGCAGTACATATTTTTTTTTGGGGGGGGTTGTTGGGTCATCGGGGCGGGAGGGGGCAGGGGGGGGGGTGAGGTGCTACTTTAAGTCGAGGACTGCGCGTAGATAGCATACATGGCCGGCTGGTGGACTTGGCGAAGGAGGAGGGGATGGGCGTGAAATGCGGTACCATACTTGAGAACGGCGTGGCCGCCGTACTGCGACTGTCAACGGTCATGGGGGGGCGTAAATGTTGGTCGGGTCCCAAGGCTCAATTAAACGAGCGAAGATGCAACATATGTTGCTGATGCTGGTGAGAGAGCACATACTCCCAGACTCTGGCGCGGGCGTTCTGATCAGCATCCCCTGCACTCGTAGCTTTCCGGCAACTCACCCTGACACACTGCAAATGAATGCACATTCAGCCCCGTCGAGAGAGAGAGAGAAAGAGTTGAGATAGACCTTCAGGCCCATGCAGCCTATACGTAGCTCCATTGTGGACCAACGGGTGTGGTATGCACAACCGTGTATCGTTCTCGTAAACAAATACGCACCTGCTCGATGTTGTAGCAGATGCGCTCCATGTCAACGTCGATGTTGTGCAGCTGTAGCTGCTTCGTGGCGTTGTCGAGCTGCTCTTGCTTAGACCGAATGCGGCGGATAGCCTGGGAAGGGGAACACAGACATCGTTCGACGCGCGCTCAGCGGATTGGCCAATACAGTCGACTCCGTTTCAACGACGCACATGTTTTTCCCCGAAGAAAAGCGTCATCAAAGCGGGGTTGCGTCCTTAAAATTCAGGGGACGATAGCTCACCATTCCCGGGGCCAATGGAGGCATGCTATACCTCAAACTACGCGTCTTTTGCTAAGGAAGGGTGTGGTACGTAAAGTCAGCATCGCCGAAACGACTGGCAACCGTTTGTTGACGTCGAACATATTTACAATACTTGAAATGAGATGTACAGCAGTCGGGGACGTGTTGAAAACAACTACAATACACCAGTTTGTACTTGGCCACCTAATGTACTGCATAGGCAGCAGCGGAAGGAGGAGGAAAGTCCAAGTAGACACATATTTATCTCATTTTTGTGAAACAGAAAAGAAACGAGCGTACTTCAGCGTCGCACCGAGGAACACCAGTACACATCACTGTCCCGGCGGAGACCAAAAGCTACCCTGACGGCTTTTCCCTCCGCATATCGCGAAGAGTTCCCTGAACCTCCCCCCGCGGCTTGGCTCTACGGCTCTGTTGAGTTTCATGAGGGAACGAATGAACGGTCTTCGAAAGAAGGTACTGCGTCTCACGGTACTCGCCAACCATTCCCTTCGCGTACAAATACGCATAGGATCGAACGTCCTCCAAGCGAGAGATAACCTCGCCCTCGGTGAGGGACGAGGTTATGCACGACTCTTTTTTTGGCGGCATTAGATGGACCGCCGGTAGATGGGAGGAATCTATCTATAATACCAACACCCAAGTACAGCTGCAGCAGCGGACCGCTCGCTACTTCTGCTGTCTGTGCTTCGCTACTTTTCTGCACTCACTGTGGTGCGTGGTGCGTGCAAAGAGCGGCCCGCAGGACACACAACGGGGGGTACGCGTCCGAAACAATGGGGGTACCTCACTATCGTATACTCTGGCGGGCTCCCTGGTGCTCAGCAATAATAGTTTCTTTAAAGCGGGGAGTTTCCTTAACGCGAGCGTCCTTAAAGCGGGGTCGACTGTAAGAGAACCTGTCACAGACACCAGCTGGTACTGCTGTCGTGTATAAAAGGATGAGCGGTCTTATCATGTGATGGACAAGAGAACCAGGTGGTACCACTTCAAACAGCGTGGAGTCGCGTGTTGAGCCTGACAACACCAACGCCTGTACTACTGGGTGATATTTTCAGTTTTCATCTACTACACCGTACAAGCCCGTCCCTAGTTATTGCAAGACTAAGGGAAACAAGTAGTTAACCCCCCCGCCCCTGTCGCTTACTTTTCTTCTTTCCAGCGTCTTCCAAGTGGCCTCCTGTGCCCGGGCTTCCGCCTTGAGGGCGTCCAGCTCCCGCTGCAGCTGCTCTTGCCTGCCCTCCAGCTCCTCACCGATAGCGCGCAGCTCCAGCATCTATTGGACGTGGTCGTGGTCGTCGTCGTCGACAGGAAGGCACGAACGTTGGGAGTCAGCCAACAAGCGCCACGTGTACGCATATAAAAAAAAGAAGCTCAATTCGTCTCCCTTCACCCGCGTTGACTGGAAAAAAGCAACTCAAGAACCTTCTGAGCTCCGCTACAGATAAAATAAAACAAAAGAGTGTTCGAGTTGTCCGACGGAGTCGTCGAAAAAAAGAGAAAAAGAGAAAAAGAGAAAAAGGGGTACTCACCACCGCTGAGTCCTCGGGGATCTCCTTGGTGTTTTTGTGGCCCCCCCCGTGAGACCCCCCAGCCGCGAGCCCCCCTTGCTCATCAGGATTCTGGCCGTTGATTCTGTCCCACAACTCCTGTCATTCGTGAGTGCCAGACGGGGGGGTGAAAAGAAAAGGCAGAGGCACATGTGCATGCATATACACACAGGAAACTCCAGGGCTTCCATTCTTCATGTGGTAGAACGACGCGAGCCTCAGCAAAACCCATGGTAACATATTTGACGGTTCGTGTACAACCCATGTGACGGTCCTGTTATTTTGTACTTTTGTGGACTCTGACCTATTCCTTGGCTTTCTTTGCTCACGGCCACTGCGAAGCGTTAGGACACCCCATGCCGCCGTTTTCCTTCGGTTGTTGCCATGAGTGGAACGAGGAAGCACACGGCGGGTGAAAAGCGGAACAACCCGCTTGGCAAAGGGATTGCACGACTGGCACACACCAAGAAGAGTCGAGGCCAATCAAGGAAGAGCCACAAGCTACTGCTGTACATGCCTAAAAAAAACGAACGTGGCGTGACACTGGCAAAGCTAGCTAGTGCTACCCGAACACACCACATAACTCAAAAACCACGTGCATGCTTTCGTGTGCCTCCTACCAACACAACTCCTCCCTGATCAACCACTTAGCACGGTCGTCGCCAACTACTTAACCTCACACAAGTATACACACAGGTTCAGCGACAGTAATCACACCATCACCTCCACACCTGTCCGAAGCGAGCCACCTCCCGGCCGGACTGGATGGCCCCGTCCCAATCCACGGTCCCGTCGTCGCGCACAAAAAGCTGACAGTCCCGTCGAAAAAAAAAGGCGACAAAAATAACGAGATGAGTGCGCCCGCGTTTACGCTTGTGTTCCTTCCCTCCCGACGTAATCAACCGTGCTACAGGGACTGACTCATGTGCGAGGGCGGTGAGAGCGAGACGGGACGGATGGAAACTTGAGAGCACTCTTCACTCAAAATTACCGCAGCGGTGTACAGTACACGGGGGGGGAGAATGAGACAGCAGCATTCGCAGGTTTATTCGTATCATCTAGACATGTATCATGAAACCATGTTGGATGAAGCATGCAATTGGGGAAGTTGGGATAGGGTTACGGTCTGCGTGCCCCCTCCCTGTACTTTTTCCTCATCAACTCTCGGAGGCGGTCCGAGTAGGATGGTGCCCCACCACGATGGCGAAATATGAAATATGGAAGGGGTGCAGCAGCAGTAGCTCCTCAAAGAAATAAAAATATGAGAAAGGAGCCGGTGACAACTGCTGACTGAGCATTGGCGGCGAGAGCAACAACAAGGAAAGAACGGCATCGAGCACGAGTACCAACACCAGCAGTAGGAAGAGGAGAAAGAACCCTCCACAACCAACACTGGTCCGGCGAAGACCCGGCGTGCTCCGCCCCGGCTTTGTACGGATCCGAGGTCAACGGTCTAATGACTACGACATACACTGCTACGAGTACACCTCCCCCCGCGCCAACACCAACGCCAACACCAGCACAAAGAAGAGCACAAAACAGACCCCCAATCACACAACCACCCCCCCCTCCCTTCCAATGACTCCCAATGGCACAATATACGGTCATCTCACATTGAACTCCGGCACTTTGACATCCTTGAGGTTAACGTTCATCCCTTCCGTCATCTCGCCGAGGATACCCCCCGCGTCTCTCCAGCTGCTGCCTTCTTCCCCCCCCGCCGCCCCCGCCGCCCCCGCGCTTCTCGTTCCTGCGGAGTCCCCCCCCGTCCCGTCCCTGCTCCTCCCCTCTGCCTGCGTGATCTTTTTGATCTTGGTCAGGTTCGCTTTCAACCGAGCCGTGATTTCCCGGAGCTTTGTAGCGTGCGCGCAGGGGATTGACGAGCACGTAACGTTGGGTGTTTCGACACCGGGATAGGTGTTAAGTTGCGCACGATCCGGTCCGATGCCGGGAGGG